TCAGTACCCAAAACAGAGAGAAGGGCTTTGAAAACGTGGGCTTGGGGGTCAGGTCTCACACTCCTTGTCTGGGTTCCATTTCTCAGCCACACTCAGAACTCTTGAGTTCCAAGACTACTCTGTCCCAGGGTCGCGCGACTCAACTGACTGACCTTCAAAAAGACATCGGGCTCGTCCGGGATTTGAACCCGGGACCTCTCGCACCCAAAGCGAGAATCATACCCCTAGACCAACGAGCCGCCTTAGAAGGGAAAGCTGACTGGGATCCTTGCAGGTCTGAGCCCGCGGCTCAGCTCCGCCCCACCCCGCCTCTGACTGGCCTCCAGGTCCGTCCCCCAAACGGGGTGCGCGTCGCACTTTGGGGCGCCAGTTCCAGGAAGCCGAGGGTAGGTGACTTCGCGGACAGAAGACAGACGCAAGTGCCCGGCCTATTTCTGAGCCGTCAGGAAGACCAGTGGCCGTGGCCATGCCCGCCGGGGAGTGGATCCCGAGCAGTGAAGCCCAGAGCTCTCACCCCACGGGGTACCTAAGCCCGAGACCGCCGAGCATAACCCCGAGTACTGCCGCCTCCACCGGCCGCCCAGGAAGGCCAGGGTCCCGCCAGATCCCGCGGGTCCCGACCTCAGCCAAGCGCCTTGTGACCTGGGTTCGGCCAGGAAAATCTGCGCAGCTCTGAGACCCCGGATACGGGAGTCAGAGCTGGGGTCAGGACTCTTTTCTTCCCGAACGGGCGGCCTGCGAACTCTCCAAACTTTACCTCCTACCGGCCCTGGCCGGGGATACAGGGTCTTGGTGAGATTCTGGGAAGGACGAGGTCTCCCTGGCTTGCTCCCTCGCCGAGGACCCGAAGGTGCCCTTTGAATATAAGGATCGACCGCTATTTGGCCCCGGCACCTCTCAGGCCTTAAGTGGGGTTTTCACGGAGCTGCAGGCTTGTCTAGGCCGAGCGGACCCATCGGCTCAGGAGGACTCCAGCGCCCGCAAGGTAGTTCGGATCTGGAACAAGTCTCTACCAATTTTAGCGCGCGCAGCCTTTGCAACACTCCAATTAGCCTATAGGGAGGTAGTTCTGCCGTACAGCCCGGCTAGCTCAGTCGGTAGAGCATGAGACTCTTAATCTCAGGGTCGTGGGTTCGAGCCCCACGTTGGGCGTGACTTTTGTCAGGCAACCAAACTCAGCAGAGCGGTGTAAGACCTCTGGACTCAATTTACAATCCTCCAGAAGGGAATTTGATGCAGTCCCAAGGAGCCAGACCTAGAACCTAGAGTTCCACAAAGGCACCACAGAATTCCTCCAGGACTGATGGCTTTTGTGTCATTAATTCTTATATATTTTGAAGTTGAAATTTACATAAATTTTATAAACGAAATGTACATAAAAGTTCCCTGTTACTGTTGGTTGTTTGATTGTTTTGGTACTAGGAATTGAACCCTGAGCTACATCAAGTCTCTTTAAATTTTTTGAGGTAGGAGGATGGCAGTATCTTCAAAGACAGCCTGGGCTACGTAGTGCAAGGCCATCCTGAACTACATAGCAAGACTGTTTCAAACAAACAAAAAATAAATAAATAAACTTGGAGACAGTCTCAAATCTAGGTAGTCCTTGAACCTGTGATCCTCCTGCCTCAAACCCTTGTCACTCAGTGAGTGGAATGTTGGAGGGAGTCTATCCAGCATGACGTGCCCATTCACGGTCCTTCTGGGAAGGCCCAAACAAGAGAAAAAACTGGTCAGGGAGCCATTAACACCCTTTAATAGCTCTGTGGTGGCCGTTCTGTCCAGGCAGTGTGTGAATGGTGAAAGATAATGCCCCTGAGATGAGAACCCGGACTTTAGTAGAGACAGTGGGAATGGAATCCCTGGTGTTCAGAAAAGCAGGAGGAACAAAACCAGAGGGCTTTTGTGGTCCTAGGGACCAAAACCAGGGCCTTAAGCATACTAAGCAAGAGCTGTATCATGGAACTACACCCCGAACCCCCAGGATTCTGTTTTAATCTCAGCGACAGGGCTTTCAGTGGTAGTTCCTTTGGGGCATAGGAGGCTTCCAGTTTTACTCTACACCATCCCTTATAGTTGGGGAGATTTTTTTTTTTTTTACCTCAAGGATGAAATCCTGTCTTGTTTTCTTCTGTTTGTTTGTTTAGCTCTGATTCATCTTGACTTGTATATGTAACCCAGGCTGGCTTCCAACTCACAATCCAAATCCAACTGCCTTAGCCTTCCAGGCATGGTATTACCAACACACACCACCTTCCACACTCAGTTTACAGTCACGTATCAGTGTCAGAAACCAGAGGAGAATTGAGAAACAAAGGAGAAAGGCTGCACTCAGGGTTGACTGCATATTAGGGAAAATTTAAAACAGCTGAGGGTAAGTTGTTTACCACAGAATATGCTAATGCATATTGGAAAGGAGATGGACCTTGCATTACTTTGATTTGTGAGAATAAAAGCAAAGTGTGTCAAAGGCATGGGGATCCTCTGCCTACTACAGGTGAGAGGCCCCCAGCTGCCTGCATTTTAAGCTAGCTCTGTCTCTTTGTGATTCCGCCTCATCCGCCGCTGGGATAGAGAGAGCAATGTGGCAGATCTAGGTCCCAGCACAAAGCCAGCTGGGTCAGTGACAGGTGGCCCCCTCGGGACCCGGGCTCACCTGTAGTTGCCACCCTGAACAATGACCTGAAACTGGGGTTGCCTACATATCAGAAGGATAACAAAAAGGAGAACTTTATTGTAGACCATTTCAAACACACACGGAAGCAGAGAAAATAGTATTATTATGCATCCTTGTGTCCCCCAGTTTACACGATATGATGATCAACTCAAGGACAAGCTTGTTTTGTCTACACTTCCACCCAGCCTGTGATTTTAAGAAAACTAGTTGTTTTGTATTTTATCTTTTAAAAATGTGTTTGTAAAGGACAACGATTTAGAGACGCAGATGAAGCTGGAAGTGGTGGCACACACTTGTAATCCCAGCACTGGGGAGGTTGAGGAAGAAGGATCACTGTAATTTTGAAGCCAGCCTGAGCTACAGAGTGTGTTCAAGGCCAGCCTGAACTACATAGCAGGCTCCTGTCTCAGAATTAAATAAATAAGTAAAATACATATTTTAAAGGGGAGTAAGGAGGTAGCTCAGTGGCAGAATATGGACAAACAAGAAGTCCTAGGTTCAATCCCCAGTACCCCCCCAAAATGTGAACATATGTGTGTGTGTGTGTGTGTGTGTGTGTGTGTGTACACACAAACACAACCACAGTACATTTGTACACCTAGGAAAGGAACAATCACTGTTTTTTCTCATATCATCAACTTGTATGAATGTTCCCTAAAATGAAGAATGCAAGCACTCTTTTCTAAAGGTTGAAAATGCACACACCTTATCTGAAAGTTACCTTCTAACTAGTATGAACCCAAAACCCTGTGGAATTTCTCAGTTTGCTCCATTCCTCTGCTTGGGGAATACACTATGCAATATAGTTAACAAGCTACATTTCACCTTTTTCCACTTTCTCTTGATAGACCTGAAGGAGAACCTCCGTAGCCCCGGGTGGGACTACGAACCCACAATCCCTGGCTTAGGAGGCCAATGCCTTATCCATTAGGCCACCAGGGCTAATAAGGAAAAGGTGTTGAGCTGGTCTCGAACCAGTCTCTACATTGCTCCGGCAGGACTCCACACAGCCTCCAGGTCTCATTCCTGGCCTTTCTCGAGTTCTTCCACCTCATGGGTTCTCGGTCTCCATACTCAGGCTCAGATTGCACCCACTCTGGGGCATCCTGGGAATCCAGAGGAGGGTGCACAGGTGGAAACGGACCTAACAGGCACAGGAAAGGGAGTTTTATCTCGGCTTATTGGTGCATGATGGCGAATCTTTTAGAGATTGAGTGCCCACAGTGCAACCCAAAACCCACTGAATTTATTGCAAAGTGCAACACTGAAATTAAACCTGACTACTGAGGTCTTAGTTTAGAAAAAACAACTCATACTTTACAAGAAGAACACAATAACAGCTTTCGATGATACAAACAGCCCACTCACCACCACTGGTCCCCGTGTGGCTCTCTCAGGATGCTAGGAAGCCCAGGTTCAAATCTTAGATGAGCGCTTTAACACAAGTACATCTCATATCAAAAAATATGTAAATGTGCTCTACAATAATGGCCAGTTCCCCACATGAAAGGTTGCATGGGAAACACCTCAGAGTCTGTCCTCTCCTGTATTCCTTACTTCAATTACTGGATATTCTATTTGTTTGTTTGTTTGTTTGTTTGAGATAGTATCTTGCTATGTAGTTTAGGTTGTTTTGAACTATGTAGCTACCCAGTCTAGCATCGGACTCATGGCGATACTCTGGGCTCCATTTTTTTGTTTTGTTTTGTTTTCATTTTTTAGATCCACTGGTCTGAGGTTTCCTATTTAATGACCCTCCCTCTAAAGTGACTCTCACATATGGCCCACCAGCTCATCGGACAGAGTCTGATACCTTAATCTGGGAGTGGTGTTAGCACCTCCTTTGGGTATTCCGACCTTGTGAAGTAGTTCTTATACAACTTACTTGTATTTAATAAGCCCTTATTAAGACAATGAAACATCACAGAAATGTTAAAATGAGTCCACACAACCTCAAGACACCTGCACCTGTCACCCATCCACCACCAGGGCACTGCTCCTCTGCATTTGGGTTATTCTGTGTCACCACAACTTGGACAGAACTTGAGTTTAGCAGAGAAATGTTTCCAGGTGAAATGTCAACTCGATCCCCTTTTTAAAATGCTAAATGCACATTTACACTAGCCATTTACGAGTATATAACCATTGCCAAAAAATCTAAATCATGTATTAGATTGTGCTTGTTTTTTACTCAAGGTCTTTCTGTAGTTCCAGCTGGCTTTGAATTCACTATGTAGCCCAGGCAGACCTTGAACTTTTGTCTTTTCCTTTGCCTCCTGAGTGCTGGGATTACAGGAGGGAGCCACCTCGCCAGCTTTATTTTACTTTTAAAAAAAATATTAACAAAACTTGCTATTTTTAACCCATGTGTGGGAGGAGGAACTGGAAGTTGAACCCAGCTAATTCCCAGCCTTTCTTTCTTTATTTATTTATATTTGAAAAGTGGTCTCATCAAATTGCCCACTTTCAGGTTTACAATTCAGTGGCCTTAGTTATGGTCACAGCATTGTGGAACATGAGTATAATAGACCATTAGATTTTTAAATGCATATGTTCTTTGATCCCCTGGAACAATTCTGGATCCTCACTCCAAGCAACCCGAACAGGAGCCTGTCATTTTTAACAGCCTGAACACAAATTCATGTAGCTCGCTGTCTCTGGCTTCATATGCTGTCTGTCCAGTATGTGGGGTGACCTAGCTGCCACCTTGGCTCTGACGCTGGCTCGACTGTAGGACGATGAGAACGACAGATCCGGACAACTAGGGCGCCCTAGACAGGCGCAAGGCACATCGCGAGAGAAGAAAAACTTTCAGGTAAAGATGAAAAAAAAAACACCGAAAGAAAAACCACATCGCAGCGACCACGAAGGGACTCGAACCCCCAATCTTCTGATCCGGAATCAGACGCCTTATCCATTAGGCCACGCGGCCCCACGCCCACTTGCTTCACCGATTTCTCTATAAAGCTTGTTGGGCGCCTGCGCAGTGTGCTTTAGCAGGCTTCTTCGGTGAAATCCGTCCCCTCAGGGCTCCGAGTCGGGAAGCTCTGCGCGGTCTGCACGGACTGCTCGGCGCGCGGTCGTCCAGCGAGCCTAGTTGCCCCTACCTTTCCGATCTCCTTCCCCGCTTCCGTAAAGGCTGCCCACCGCTCCCCCGGCCCTGAGTTTGCCCCATCACCGCGCTGGCGGTCTCTTCCTGAGCCTCTGGGCTGGATCTGACCCAGGGCCCGCTCAGGGACAGGGCTGCGAGGGGAATGTGGGCCTGGGCCACTCCCAGGTCCAACTCACTGTGTTCCTTAGACCCAGACGCAGGGCACAGCTCCCGGGGCACAGTTGTGTCAAGTACTTTAATTCCACCGTCTCACCTAGTTACAGGTCTCCAAGAGCAAGCTGTCCCAACACAGCGACCACAACAGACATTTATTGCGCGACATCTAGGCGTCCGCATCCAAGGAGCCCGAGACTGGCAGCCAGGAGGAAGTTGGGTGCGGCGGATGAAGCGGGGGCCGTCAGGCCTGCAGGCAGAGCCGGTGCCGGAGCGAGCTGCGGATCTCCAGGCAGGCCTTTCGGGGAGCTTGGCTGTCCGGTCCCAGCACGTCCAGCTCACACACCCGCCTGTTGACCTGAGGGGCCACACTCATCTTGAGCCCAGGACCTTAGTTCCCGCAGGGGTCCACCTAGCACCCACTGCAGCCCTCGCTTGCTCTTCTATAAAGCCTGAACTTTTAAGCGCTACCTTGAAGCCTTTGAGCCTCATGGGGGGGGGACCCCCAAAGGCCTAACACAAGTTCCCCGATGTTGTCAGAAAAGCCCTGCAGCTCTGCACGTGATGACATGTGCCTGTAATCCCACTACTTTGGGAGGCTGAGGCAGAAGGATTGCAACTTCAAGCCCAACCTGGGCAATTTAGCAATACCCTGTCTCAAAAAAAAAAATTTTTTTTTTGGAGGTGGCTTGAGACAGGGTCTCACTATGTAGCTCAGGTTAGCCTTGAACTCACTATGTAGCCCAGTCTGGCCTCAAATTTGGAGGTGATCCTCCTGCCTTAGCCTCCCAAGTGCTGGGATTACAGGTATGCTCTACCGGGCCTGGCCTTTCTGTCTCAATTTAAACATGAAAAAGGGCTTGGGATGTGCAGTACTGCATAAAGAAAACAAGGAAAAGAAAGGACCCCCCACCAGTGAGTCTCCCCACCAGCCAGAACACCTGCACCCATCTCAGCCTCAGCATAACCAGCTTCACCTCCCGGTCAGCTGCCTAACTACTCAAACCAGTCCCATCCCTCTCAGACAGCCCAGACACCTCACCTTCTTGTCTCTATGAAGCTCACTTCCAACAGCCCCTGCTGTTACCCTCTGCTCGCTAGTGCTTCCCAAGGACCCCCATGGCCTTCAGTGTGCTCTTCCCCCGGCCTTTAGTGCGTGTGAGTAATACCTTCTGTCGACCTCATTTGAGAAATGCCAGGTGTCACATGTTTGGTCATTTTACACTGTTGAGAGCAGGGAATGCCTCCTTACCAAAGGGCTGAACGTGTGGTGACTGGGACACCAGGCTGGGAGAGGGGCCCACCCAGTCCCTCTCTGCTCATCACCCACCCCTCACACCTCTGTCAGCAGCTCTAGAAGGTCTCCCCCAGGGTTGGCTCTGACGACCTCCACCAGCATCTGGACAAAGTCTGAGCCCTTCTCGTCCCGATAGGCTACACAGCCTGAGTCAGGGAACCAGGGCCAGAGAATTAGCCTTGGGCCTCTGCCCACTACATCCCACCTCCCAGGGGCCAGCTGTAGGTGGGATTGGGAGGCAGCAAGCAGAGATGACCCTGGGGATCCTGCCAGAGAACAGGGCAGGGGGCAGGGATTTCTTACATCTGGAACAGATTGTTGCTCTATACCTGCAGAGTGAATATGTGAGTAGATTTACTGTGGTCCTCCTAGGTACCAGGCACTGAACAGGGCCCTTGTAGAATTTACAGCATGGAGGATTACTCTTTTGTTTGGTATTTGAGACAGGGTCTCACTGTGTATTACAAGATGGCTTTGGTACCAGGGAATCGAACTCAGGACCTTGCGCCTTCGAGGCACTAGTATAAGATGGCTTTGAACTCACTACGTAGCCCAGACTGGCCTCAAACTTACCACAATCCTCCTGCTTCAACCTCCTGCCCCAAAAGCTGAGATCACAGGGATGTGCCACCATGCTTGACCATCATTTATTATTATTACATCATTTATTATTACAGGTAATAAACCATAGAAGGAAGATGGTTCCTCTGTGCCCCAGCCCCAAGCCCTGGGTGTCCCTAAGATCACTCCAGATCATAAAGCAGGAAGCTGCTACCATGCAAAAGTCAAGGTATCTTACCCTCAGTGGCTGCGTACACTGTCAGAACATCTGCCACATCAGCATTCCCTGAAGTGGGGCCCCTGGAAGAGCTGCCTACAAAAGGAGTCAACTCCAGTCACAGAATTCTGGGGCTACACCAGTCCTAGGGTCTCCCCTTCTTTCGGAAAAAAAAATCAGGGAAGAAATAAGATAAATAGAACAAAGCTCAGCCCTGATGCTTACCAGCTGTGTGGCCTCCGAGACACTAGTGCAGCCTCCTGACTCCAGGACCCTGCCAGGCTCAATGAAAGGATGCAGCTCTTGCTTCCCAAAGGCCCTTGCACTTTAGGAAGATTCCCCCCTCCCATCATCTTGGCAAAGAGGGGACAGAGGTGATGGCAGGAACCCAGCTGAGAACCATGGAAATGCTCTTAGGATAGTTACAGCCACCAGCCCTGCCCAAGTCAGGCTCTGGAAGGAATACAAGACCCACCTTGGGTATATGCATGGATCTGGAGGACATCTGCCTGGGAAGGGGTGGCTGGAGGTGCCCGCAACCAGCGCCAGTACCAGGGGAGAGCTGGAGGCCCCACTCCAGCATCTCTGTTTCCTGGGAAAAGAAGGGGAGGTGGGTACCTCCCCTTCAATTGGTGGGTGCCCAGGGGAGCCTTCTGAGTACAGACCCCCTGTAAACAGTGGGGACAAAGCAAGGACCCAGTGCCCAGAGCTCATGAAATGGCCTGACAGGCTAGAACATTCAGAGCACTGACTGACCAGGCTGAGGGTGAAGAGCTCAAGTTCATGGACCTGACTGTAGGAAGGATGGGAGAAAGGGTAGGAAGGGCTTCCTGGAGGAGACGGACAGCAAGTGTGGGAGACCAATGGCTAACAAAGAAAACCCAGAGCAGGAGAAGATGGGGAGGAGGCCAGGCCACTCACCGCCACGGCAAGCCTGATGCAGAAATATCTTGGGGTGGCCCTGGAGCACTGGGCAGTGGCTTAGCTCCCACAGTAGCGCCTCTGGCTGTACCTCTTTCCCATCAACCCCAAGCAGCTGTCCCTGTGGCCCCCCATGAGCCATCAGGGCCACAAGGGCACAGCTCACAGGGTGCTTGTAGGTGTCCAGCCTCTTTTGGAACTGAGCCAGAGCCTCCCAGAATGCCTGGAGCAGAGACAATGTTGAAGACGGCCTCAGCCCCTGGCTTCCCACCCTGGGCTGAGAGCCCTTCCCCAGCCTCTGCCACTGGACCTCCGCCTGCTGCCAGCCTCAAGTCCAGAGAGGAAGCCCCTTTCTTACTCTGCAACACTTAGCACAAGCTCTTTGGTCTAGCTTCCTGGAACCAATTCTTCTCCTGCTCCAGTGGGGAATAGGTTAAGAGGCATGAGAGAGGGCAGTGGGCTGACGTGTGTCCAACAAAGAAAACAAAACTGTTGGAGGAAAAGCTTTGACTTTGGGAAAGCAGAGACCAGCCAGCATAGGAGCTCAAGGAGCCCTGGAGACCAGCTTCCTGAGGCAGGGAAGTGACTGTCCCATGCATGCAGCCAGGAAGACGAAGGCTAGACTTATGGGTACACTTCAAGTGGTGCTACGGGAGAGGCCCAGGAGGTCCTCCCAGCGTCCTAGGGGAGGCCATGCCTCTCCTTCCAAGAACCACCAGAAGTTCTGCATTTCTCCTTACCTGAGCTGTAGGGTCTGTCCTCACAGTAGTCTGAAAGCCCAGGGCCTGGCACAGGTCTCCCAGGGCCTCCACGTCATTCTGTGCCCCGGGCCGGTCTTGGACCACGGCCAGGATGAGGGCAGCCCTGGCCCCAGACAGGTCATACTGCACACTGGGACCAGGATCTGGCTACAGAGAAGGCCAATGGGCACTCAGTATGGTTTGAGGGGACTCCCAGCTCATCGCCTTCTTCACCTGGGTCTCAGCCTCTGTCCCATGCGCAACCGTGTCTACGTAATTGGACGCCATCACGTCACCTCACCTCAGGCCTCCAAGGCTCCACCGCTCCCAGGCACAGGGCCCCCCGCAAGGAGCTCTGGAAGACTGGGCAGTAGGTGTCCCCAGCAGACTCCTCCGTCACCCTGCAGAAGAGCTGGGAGGGTGGGGCCCAAAGCCACCTGAGGGGCCGCTTTTCTGTGAATAAGGGACAGACTGCAAGCAAGCACTCAGAACCTGGCTCCAGGGAAAGACTCAGAAGCCTCGGGGTTACTACAGGCTCTTTGGGGGTCACTTGCCAGAGAGAGGGTGGAGAATGGGGAGAGCACACTGGACTTGGGAAATACCTAGGCTCTGGTTTGGTCTAAAGGTCATTTATTTCTCAGGCATTGAGGGCCTCATGAGGATGGTGGCTGTGTCTGTCATCACCGATCCCCACCCCAGGGGTCAGTGGGCACAGAGGACGGGGCAGCCTGGGGAGGGAGGCTCCTAGGGTGGGCACTACGTGGGAAGACACCAGGCCTGGGAGAGCCACTGAGCATAGGTGCTGCCGAAGAGAGCACAGCTGGTGCCCACCTCCCCCACCTCCAGGATTCGCCGGGCTCCACCCACCTCCCCAGTGAGACCTTCAGACCCTGGGCACCCAGCCTGAGTGCCTCCGTCTAACAGGCAGGAGTCACTGCCTGCATATGTGTCGAAGGGGCACCTAGAAATACCAGTGTGGATCCAGGAGCTCAGAGAGGAGGACACTACTAGCAGCCGGAAAGGGACGGTGTGAGTAGGGCTGGCAGACAGCAAGGAGGGCATGGCGTGGAGCTGGGGCCAGGCATGGAGGCACATGCAGAGCTAGGGTGCGCCCCAAGGCTCGTGCTGCCTTTGTAACCATAAAGGTGGGGGAGGGCACGAGAACAAACTTAACTGAAACTGGCCCAGGAGAGCCCAAAGAGCTGGGGGTGCCGAGAGCCTGGAACCCCCACACCCTTTCTGAGGCCCCCACCTCTGTGAGCAGCTGCAGCAGGGACCAGTGAGGAGAACGGCTGCAGAGCTCCCCCAGACCAGCAAGGAAGGCTCCAGGCTCCGGGCCAGCTGGTGGAGAAGCAGGCAAGACCTGTGTGTTGGCAGGGGAGAAGCTCCCAACTCTCCCGCCTACCCCTACCCCCACTGTGATCTGGGGTCCCAGCGTAGCCACTCACCCCCAGGATCACTAGAGAGTAGCAGAAAGACTTTGGGGCGGCCTTGCAAGGCCTCACAGCGACTTAGGTCCTGGACCAGTGGCAGTGGCTGTCTCAGCTGTTTACCAGGGGCCACCAAGGCCACAAGGGCACAGCTCACAGGGCCCCTCTGGGCGTCCAGCTGCTCCCAGAACCGAACCAGCTCTTTAAGGATGCCCTAAGGGTAAGAGCCAAAGTCTGGCCCCCGACTGGACAGTTTAGTGGGGTTGGGTGTTGGGGCCGAGGCTGAGGGAGGAGGGCTCACCTGGACCAAGACCTCACTCTTCTGGTTTTCAAAGCCTAGGGTTTGGAACACACGGTCCAGGGCAGCAACAGTAGCAGCAGACACCCCAGGGCTGCTGAGTGTCAGGGCCACCCGTGACCCCTGCGTACCGTACTTCCCCTGGGGAGGCAAGACCAGAGCTGGGCTGGGCAGAGGGCACATCTGAGTGTCAGAAGCAGGCTGGACCAAATGGAACCTCCTACCTTTCTCCTCAGGCTGTCTCGGGCATCTGCCAGCTGTGCAGCCACTCGCAGGGTCCCAGCCACCAAGAAGGCCATGGAGGTGAGATGGGGCTTCCTCTAAGCACTGAGCTCACCTCCTGGTCCTGGCTCCCAGTACCCTAGGTCCTAACCCTCGCCTCTCCCCAAGCCTCCCCCTATCAGCTCAGTTTATGACCTGAGCTGGACTCTGCCCTATCCTCCAGAAACCTGGGCCCTGCTGCCCCAGTCCTGCTCTGTTGTCTGTCTCTAGCCAGTGACTTCCTGGCACCTGAGCCTGAAACCTGTACCCAGCCCTATTCTTAGGTCTTGGCCCACACTCCTATCTGATCTTGTTACACTCCAGTGCCTCCCTTTGGAGGCAACCACCAGCACTAAAAAGTGCTCCTACTGTCCCCACCACCCTTGCCCACATGCATGTAACACAGGTGTGCACATACACTATTACATGTGCATGCACACAACAGCACTGAACCCACTGAGGCCGAAAATGCCCACTGGAATCAGCTTTCTCCAGTGTGACCTTGGTTGCTTTATGTGGGAGACGGGGACTGGCTGGACCACAGGGTGATGTGTTAAAGTGGCAGCTGCCTAAGGAAGGGCCCCAGGGCAGATGGTACCACACAGGGACTGCTTGTGGGACAGGAACACCACGTCTCCATCTACCGCCATTCCTCCTTGGGGGGGCACCCCGAGGCTATCGAGGGGACAGGCAAGGATCTGCAAGTGTGACCACTGGCTTTGACCAGGCACCTGGCAGCTCCGCACAGGTCTCACCTGGCCCAAGGCAGCAGGGAGGCTGGGTGGGAGGAATGGCTGGAGAACAAGGGCAGGGCCCGTTTTGACCGGTTCGCCCCTCCTCCTAAGAACTCCCACCACAGGGCAGCTTTGAGTTCGAGACCCAGTGAGCAATAGAAAGCCCCGACCTCTCTAGAACTTTGCTCACTTTACAAGTGAGGGCAGAGGTGAGCCTGGTAAAGACAAGTCCTGCTTGGCCCCTCAGACCCCTGGATAGGAAGAGGAAGGTTGCCAAGACCCGGCTGATATAGGATAACAGAAGGGGGTGGAGTCCCGATGTGACCTCGTTTGGGACCCTATGCCTGCAAGCCCAGGATATGGCTCCATCTGGTGACCATATAGCATCCTGAGTCCCAGCAGGACCAAGCCACCAAGAGAAACTTCTAGGTCCCCAGCCCTGCAGTAGCCACCTGAAGAACAGACAGCCTGGGGAGAAGTTTTTCTGTTTATTCAAACCCTTCTGAGAGCCAATGGGCTGACTTCTTTGGAAGGGCCCTGGTCTGTCCCTGTTCATACAAATCTGCACATAAGGCAGACAAAAAATGGAATGCAGTGCTTGAGGAGTCAGCACCAAAGTGCCGAGGGAGTGCTAGTGTTAAGTATCGCCAAGGCCGTGCCTCTGGAGGGGCGGGCAGCAGGGGGCTTCTAACCACCTACCGTCCTGAATGGCAGATGGGGGCTGGCGGGGAGGGGTACACCTGCCGAGAGCAAACGTGGCAGCTTCCTGTGGCCAGGCCAGGCCAGAGTGGTCAAGGACTGGAAGTGGGAGGGAACGAAGGCCAGAATATCCCTGCGGATAGACACAGACGACCTGTTTCTCAGGTGTGGGCCCGCTGTCCCTCCCAAAGCCAAGCAGACACCTGGGGGAGGCCGAGGCTGGTCTTCTGCCCCCACTGTAGGCACAGGTCGGCAGGGCAGAGGCCTGGCCCACAGACCCACCTGAGAAAGCCGGAAACAAAGAGCTATGGCCACATGCGGCTGAGGGCCAGGGCTCTTCCCAGGGCCCTCCCTGAATTCTCACACAGCTGGCTGCCCCTGCCAGGAATACACTAAGACTCCAGGAACGACGGAAAAAAGAAATGCAGAACAAGGAGGGAAGACAAGGTCAGCCAGACCTTTGTTCCAGGAGTGTGGGGCCTGTCCTGGGGGCCACAGGGCTGTCTTGAGCCTGAATCGCTCCAGCAGGCCAAGAAGTAGCCAAGACTGGTGGAGAAGCCCCGAGGGGACAAAGGGGGCAGCAAGATTCTCCCTGGCTGCTCACCCCACGGGCTGGGCCATCTTGGTGTGCAGGCTCTGGTGGGCTATGAGGTGTGCACGCTGCTTGAAACTCTTGTCACACTCGCCACAGCCAAAGGGCCGCTCACCGGTGTGCACGCGCCGGTGGTCCAGCAGGTAGGAACGCAGGGAGAAGCTCTTGCCGCAGTCGCTGCAGCCAAAGGGTTTCTCGCCAGTATGGATGCGCTGATGGTCAGCCAGGTAGGCGCTGCGGCTGAAGCTCTTGCCGCACTCGGTGCAGGAGAACGGCTTCTCGCCTGTGTGCACGCCCTGGTGGCGCACCAGGTCCGAAGAGCTGCGGAAGCTCTTGTCGCACTCGGGACACTTGTGCGGCTTCTCGCCGGTGTGTGTGCGCTGGTGGCGAGCCAGATCC